GGGGACAGTGTAGTGGGAGCTTTACTCTATATATAACCCTGTGCTGCCCCTGTCCCTGGCATTGTTTCGTAGGGACAGTGTAGTGAGAGCTTTACTCTGTATCTAACCCCGTGCTGCTTCTGTCATGGAATCATACAGCATGGAAAGAGATCCCTTCAGTCCAATTTGTCCATGCCGATTAGGTTTCCTCAACTAAACTAGTCCCATTTGCCTGTGTTTGGCTCTATAGCTTTCCTATTCATGTACCTGTCCTAATGTTGTATTTGTAAAGTTTAAAGTCATGCAGACAATGTCCACTACTGTGCCTTCATCTAACTTCTTGGTCACTTCAAGAAAAGTTTGATCAAATATGTGAGACATAATTTCCCATGCACGAAGCTATGCTGGCTGTCCCTAATCAGGCCTTGTCTTCTCAAATGCCTGTAAATTCTATCTCTCAGAATCCCCAACTTACCCACCAATACATCAGGCTCTATAGTTCCCTGGCTGTTCCTTGCTGCCTTCTTAAACAATGGCAAATCATTATCTACCCTCACCTGTGGATATCAATGATACAAATATCTCTGCAAGAGGCCCCACACTCTCTTCCCCAGATTCCTGCCATGTTGTGGGATACACCTGATCAGGTTCCGGGGATTCATCTGAGATAACAAGGTGTAGAGCTGACGTCAGCTTTCCTGCTCCTCTGACGCTGCTTGGCCTGCTGTGATCGTCCAGCTCTACACCTTGTTATCTCAGATTCTCCAGCATCGGCAGTTCCTACTATCTCCAGGGATTCATCTGCCTTTTTGTGCATTTTAAGACCTCTAGCAACTCCTCTTCTGCAATGTGGTCTCTTTTCAAGATGTCACCATTTATTTCCCCAATTTTTCTAGCTTCCATGTCTTTCTCTGTGGTAAATTCCTATGCAAAACATTTGATTTGTATCTCATTCATCTCCTGTGGTCCCACATATAGACAGTTTTGTTGATCTGTAATGGGCCCTATTCTCTGTTTAAAAGAAAACCTGAAAGAACTGCGGATGCTGAAAATCAGGAACAAAAACAAAGTTGCTGGAAAAGCTCAGCAGGTTTGGAGCATCTGTGAAGGAAAAATCAGAGTTAACATTTCAGGTCCAGTGACCTTTAGAACTGATAGTGGCTGGGAAAACGTCAGTTTATATGCAAAACATAAGGGAGGGGGATGGGGATGGGGTGTAAAAGATAGGATAGAACCTAAAGAGAGAGAGAGAAGAGCAGTTGGACAGACAAAGAGTTGATAACGATCAGGCTGGGAGGGTGAATAGTTGTTAATGGGGACTATTAGTGACTAACAACAGGTAGGGTGTAATGGCAGGCTATGTGGTAACAAGAGATAATAAGGTGTAGAGCTGGATGAACACAGCAGGCCAAGCAGCATCAGAGGAGCAGGAAGGCTGACATTTCGGGCCTAGACCCTGCTGGGACATGGGAGAGTTTAGGCCCTGAAATTATTGAACTCAATATTGAATCCGGAGGGCTATAGGGTACCCAAGCAGAAAATTAGGTGTTGTTCTTCTAGCTTTGCTGGAACACTGCAGCAAGCCAGAGACAGACATGTTGGTCAGGGAGCTGGGTGGTGCGTTAAAGTGGCAGGCAATGGGTAGTTCAGGGTCTTTTTTGCGAACAGCATGTTCTGTTCTGCCACTTTTGTTACCTTGTTACCACATAGCCTGCCATTATACTCTACCTGTTATTAGTCACTAATAGTCCCCATTAATAACTATTCACCCTCCCAGCCTGATCGTTATCAACTCTTTGTCTGTCCAACTGCTCTTCTCTCTCTTTAGGCTCCATCCTATCATTTACTCCCTGCCCCATCCCCTACCCTTTTTTCTGCAATATAAACTGATGTTTTCCCAGCCACCATCAGCTCTGAGGAAGGGTCACCAGACCCAAACGGTTAACTCTGTTTTTTCCTTCACAGATGCCACCAGACCTGCTGAGCTTTTCCAGCAACTTTGTTTTTGGCCCTACTCTCTCCCGTGTTATTCTTTTGCCTCTAATGTACCTGTAAGCTTCTCCTTAACCTTATCTGCCAAAGCTATCTCATATCCCCTTTTGCCTTCCTAATTTCCCCTTTAAGTGTATTCCTACTCTGTCTAAACTCCTCAAGGGATTCACTCGATCCCAGCTGTCTATACCTCACATGTGCCTCCTTTTTCTTGACCAGAGCCTCCATTTCTCTGGTCATCCATTGTTCCATACACCTACCAGCTTTGCCCTTCACAGTAACAGGAAGATAATATCTCTGAACTGTTATCTTGTTTTTGTTAAACTTCCTGTATAATACCATCAAAATTGGCCTTACTCCAAATTAGAACTTTAACTTTCAGACCAGGCCTGACCTTTTCCCTAACTATTTTAAAACTAATAGAATTATAATCACTGGCCCCCAGTTGCTTCCCCCCCTAACACCTTAGTCACTTGCCCTGCCTTATTTCCCAAGACTAGGTCAAGTTTTACTCCTTCTCTAGTAGATACATCCACATATTTAATAAGAATTTTCTTGAACACACTTAATGAATTCCTCCCCATCCAAGCCCTTAACATTGTGACAATCCCAGTCTATGTTTGGACAGTTACAATCCCTCCCCATTACAACCCCATTATTCTTACAGCTCTCTGAGATTTCCTTACATATTAGCTCCTCAATTTCCTGCTGATTACTGGGGGGTTTATAGTACAATCCCATTAGGTGATCTCCCCTTCCTATTTCTCAGTTCCACCCATAAAGCTTCATTTGACGATCCCTCAGAAATATCTTCTCTAAGTACAGCTGTAATGCTGTCCCTGATCAAAAACATGACTTCCCCCTCCCTATCTATCTTTCTAACCACCCTGGGAGTGTTTGATGGGGATGGTGTAAAGGTAGCTTTACTTTCAGTTTAAAAGAACAAAGGGAGCTTTACCCTGGATCTCGCCCTGTGCTGTACCTGTTTCAAGGGGACAGTGATGAGGAAACATAACTCTTCCTATAAAAGAATAGAGTAAGCTTTACTTTGACTCGAAAATAATAGATGGAGCTTTACTCTGTATGTAACCCTGCGTTATTACAGTCCTTGGAGTGTTTCATGGGACAGTGCCAACAGAGCTTTGCTTTCAGTTCAAGAGATATTCCGCATCAGTAACTATAGGGACTGTCGCTATACCAATAAGGCTTGAATTCTGACAGTGCGGCTCTCCCTCAGCACTGACCCACCGACAGTGCCCACTCCCTCATCACTGACCCACCGACAGTGCGGCGCTCCCTCAGCACTGACCCTCCGACAGTGCGGCTCTCCCTCAGCACTGACCCACCGACAGTGTGGCTCTCCCTCAGCACTGACCCACCGACAGCGCGGCTCTCCCTCAGCACTGACCCACCGACAGTGCGGCTCTCCCTCAGCACTGACCCTCCGACAGTGCGGCGCTCCCTCAGCACTGACCCTCTGACAGTGCGGCGCTCCCTCAGCACTGACCCACCGACAGTGCGACGCTCCCTCAGCGCGGTGCTCCTTCAGCACCGACCTCCTGACAGGAGCGCCGACCCCCCGACAGTGTGGCTGTCACTTTGTACTATGCCTGTGCCATCAAGCCGAGTGTCGGAAATAAAATGTAGAGTTATAGAAGTTTACAGCATGGAAACTGACCCTTCAGCCTAACTTGCCCATACCGCCCAATTTTCACAATTAATCTAGTCCCATTTGCCTGCGTTTGATCCATAGCCCTCCATACCTATCCCACCCAAGAACCTATCCAAATGTTTCTTAAATGATGAAAATGTATTCACCTCCACCAATACGTCTGGCAGCCTGTTCCAGACACTCCTCATTCTCTGCGTGAAAATAATTTCCCCTCTGGACCCTTTTGTATCTGTCCCCTTTGACCTTTACACTCCCCTACCATGGAGAGCTGTTGGCTATTGACCTTATATATGCCTCTCGTGATATTATAGACCTCTATAAGATCACCTCTCAATCTTGTACACTCCAGGGAAAATAGTTCCAGCCTATCCAACCTCTCCTTGTAACTCAAACCTTCCAAGTCCAGGTAGTATCCTAGTAAATCTTTTATGCACTCTTTCTAGTTTAATAATATCCTTTTTATAGTAAGGCAACCAAAACCAAATGTGGCCTTAACAACATCTTGTAAAACAGCAACTAGACGTCCCAACTCCTACACTCAATGCTCTGACTGATGACAACAAGCATGCCAAACACCACCTTCACCATCCTGTCTACCCGTGACTCCACTTTCACAGAGCTACGCACCTGTACTCCGAGGTTTCTTTGTTCTATAACACTCCCCAGGGCCCTACCGCTGACTACATGTCCTGCTCTGGTTTGACCTACCAAAATGCGACAACTTGTGTTTGCCTAAATTAAACTTCATCTGTGAGCTTCTGACTCAAATGGGAACATTCACTGAACTTGGCGAGAAGGGATAGTTGACAAAATGACACTTAGTTTCTGTGAGGAAATGCCAGTGGAATGGAATCCACGTGGATTTCCAGTTACAGACATTTGTAAATATCGAGCTTGAGTAGAGGCAGCACTGGGATAGACTGAGAAACATGAAATCCAAATGACAGTTCTTTTATTTAAATGAAGTCCAAGTTAATTGCATTATTTGAGTATATTAGACAAATTTTTAACTTAATATCTCAATACATTTTAAAAATATAATTTATATTAAACTGGTTGAATGAAGTATAGTTCATTGTAAACCCATATTATTCTTTTCATAATGTTGCAATTTTGTAAGGCAATGACTTTAAGCATTTACTAATAAGCCTCATTCACCAGAAAGATGCTGAAATTCAAAGGGTGAAATGATGCACAGTCTCAGTACGTATCCCCTCCAAAAGGGACAACAAAGAGGTGTTTATTTGAGGTTTTCAAGATGATTCAAGGATTTAACAGGGCCAATGGAGAAAAACTATTTCCTCTGATGGGAATAATCTTGAATGAGGAGCAGCATGTTACAATCTGAGGTGATCCTTTGGGGTGATATCAGGAAACACATCCTCATGCAAAGGGGAGTGGAAATCTGGAACTCTCTCCTCTTATTCCAGATCAATAGGACCTTTCAAAACTCAGACTTCTTCATTTTTGGTGGGTACAGATTTTGTGGAACTGAGGCAGGTAAAATGGAGTTAAGATGCAGGTTAGCTTGGGTCTAACTGACTGATGTAATTGTCCCAAGGGGCTAAATATCCCCCTTGTATTGTCTGCCATACCCCACACCCTGTCCTCTTCCCAAGGTAGGCAATTGGATAGTCAGCAGGACCAGGAAGGACCACCAGCTGGAAACTCCCAGCTCCACTGTACCACCTCTAGACTGTAGCTGAGGACAAGCCTTTGGAGCTGCTCCAGTTGGGGTCAGCTGACCAAACTAAGATCAAAGGTCACGCCTGGGGAGCACCAGGCAGATAACCTCATGGAATTTTGCACTCAGAGCACTAGAATACCAGGCACCATTTTGGTCTCCATATTTAATGCATGATATTCTTACATTGTGAAGCTTCACAAGATTGATCCCTGGGATGAGGGGCTTGTCCCATGATGAGGCTGAAAACATTGGGCTGATCTTTGCTGGTGTTTAGTAGAACGAGAGGTGATCTCAAGAGAACACGCAAGATACTGAAGGGGCTTGAGTCAAACAGGTAGTTTTCTTCTGGCTGGGTAATCAGTTTCATTACAGGGGACCAATCATTGAGGTTTAAGGCAAAGAGAAACATTTTCACTGAAAAGGGGATTGTGAAACTTTGGAATTGTCTGCCCCAGACAGTTGTGGATATGCTCCATTGTTGAATATATTGAAGGCTGGGTAAAAGAGATTTTCAGTGTCTCAGGGAGTTAAGTGGAAAGGAGAGGCATTGCTGAGGGGTCTCTATCAGCAGAAGGTGGAAGTGAAGCTGAGAATCAGCCACAATTGTACTGGGTGCTAGTACATGCTGACGGGCTGAATGGCTGCATCTGTTGCCTCTTTCTTGTGGTCTGAACACTATCAGTTAAATGGGGACGTGGTTGGTGTGAGGTTGAGCTTAGGAGTAGCTCCAATATGGCATGGTGCTGATTCCCTAATTCCTCCTATTTATTCTAATACTGTTACATGTCACCTACAATTCACATCAAAAATACTTCTGCAAACAACCAGATTTTTACAGAGAAGAAGATCAGGCAGGATTCACTCTAGTTACATTTGATTTACTCACTGATATTAATAGTGCATTTAAAATATGTGCATCATCCTTTCATCTTCAAACACATGACACGAGGATGTGATACACTGAAAGCTCGGACAACATCTGGGATCCCATCGAGTGAAACAGAGCAGTTCGGATCACAGCCAGAGTATGGTGGTCTGACTGGAAATGTTTCAAAGGCTGCATTGAGCCCCCGCCTGTGGGTCAGCTATGGCCGTTGTCTTTATCCTGGGGTGGCAGCTCAGAGATTCTGTCGATGGACTTTAGAAGATCAGACACCAAACGTAGAGTTTCTGTTCCAGACAGGAGCTGTCTGAAATCGAGAAAGGAATAAAGACAACAAAGTAATTACAGACTTGAGCCTGGCAGCAAATATGATGTTATTGCTGAATATGCTTCTTTACAATTTCAAATTCATCAAAAGGTTTTCATCTGAAATTCTTGGTCCACCTCAGTGGTGAGATGGGACTAAGGCTCCTGTGTGTTCCTTCAGTCTGCACACACTGCCCAGTCTGTGATCGAACTCAGCATCTGAAACCTCAGGACAGAGATCCAGAGTTTTGCTGCTGAGATGTGCTGGAGTTTTGTTTTTAATCATTAACAGGATGTGGGCATGGTTGGCTTGGCCAGCATTTATTGCCCATTCCCTCACGGCCTAGAGGGGAGTTAAGAGTCAACCACATTGCTTTGGGTCTGGAGTCACATGTAGGTCAGACCGTGTATGGATGGCAGATTGCCTTCCCCAAAGGGCATTAGAAAAAGCAGATCGGTTTTGGTGTTTCCACTACCTGCGATGGTGAGATCTGAACCCAGGTCCCCACAACGTTACCTGGGTTAATCATCTGACCATAATACCATAAGGCCACCACCTTGCACACAGAGTGGAGTGCAAACTGAGATTACACAGGGAATACGACACAGTCCATTCAGCCCAATCAGTCCATACTGGGGTTTATGCTCTATTCCTGTATCCTCCCATCTTTCTTCATTCAAATCTATTGTTGCAACTCTCTTTCCTCCTCTTCAGCTTGTCTACTTTCCTCTTAAACACATCAATAACATTCATTCCAATTCCCAGTCCCTGTGGGAGCCAGTTCCACACACTCTGGGTGAAGAAGTTTCCTGAATTCCTAATTGGAATTCTATGTGACTGCCTCTGGTTACGTTCTCCCCTACAACAGGAAACATTTGAATTGTAGAACATTTACAGCAGCAAGAAGCCACTTAGACTATCGGGTCTATATCCCTCACAAAGAATGAGCCCCGCATGCTTCCCAGTGTTGGGTCTGTCCTCTTGCAGGTTCCTGCTCTCCAGCTACTTCTCCAGGCACCTTTTCAATGAGGCGAGGGTTTTGTGTCTCTATGACCCAATCAGGAGGTGGGTTCCAGACCCCAGACACCCTCTGGGTGAAAAGGCTGTTCTCATCTTCCCTTTAACCTTCCAACTAATCTTTGTCTCCAAGTCACTGATCTCCCTGCCAAGGTAAACAGGCCCCTCACAATTTTATAAACATCAGCCATTCCGATTTTTCCTCATTCTGCAAATTTTCCAGTTGTGGCAACATCTCATAAATCTCCTGCTCCGTTTCTTGAGATTCCATACTTTCTGGAAGGTGGCTGCACATAATACTCAAGCAGGGGCCTGACTACTGATTTGTACAGTTCCTGTATTAATCTTGCTGCCCTTATATTCTACAATTGGCCAAATTTCCATTTGCCTTCTTAACTCATTCTCGACACATCCTGCTACATTCAGGATCTGTGGACATTCACTCCAATGTCCCTCACTTCCTCTACACCTCTCAGTATCATCTCATTAATTGGCTCCTTTGCCTTGTCTGACCTCCCCCAGTGACCCATCTCATTGTTCTCTGGACTGGATTTTATTCGGCACTTTACTGCCACCTGAACAGTCCATTGGTAACTTATACAAACTCTCTACGTCACTGCACCAAAAGCTTTCATCATTTAAAGACCTTGAGATCACTGCTCAACCATCACTTTCACAGAGAAAAAGATGCAGCCTGTTCGCCTTTTCCTGAGATCTACATCGTCACATTTCTGGAAACGTCCCTGAATCTTCTCTGCAGCCTCTTCAGAAACTTGATCTCCTTTATTTCATAATATGGCAGCCAGAACTGGATGCAGGTATGGAGACTGAGGGGTGAGGGATATCGGGTGGGATTCAGAGTTGGGGATCTGAGGTGGCTCCACATCCAGCCCACACCCCCTTTCAGTCTTTACATTTGGGGTCAGTATATCCCTTTCCTTCTTTCCTTCTAGCCAGTGAGGAACGGATTGTCATACTTTACTGAGCTCTCTGCCTCCTGAGCTGCCTTTGTGAGATAGTCTGATGCAAGCCGGGCATTGCTTTTTGCAGAGTTCAATGCGAGGGAGTCTTCAGATCGAAGCCTCTCATTCTCAGATTTCCATTGCTGCAGCTCAGTCTGTCAGACAGAAACAAAGGAACAGCATTATCCACACCCAGGGAGGAAGGCAGAGGGAGGGTGGGGGAAAGAGAGAATGAGAAACAGAAGAATGAGTAAAGAGAGGGGGATGTGGTTGAGAAATACAGAGGGGGATAGTGCAGAAGAGACGGTGGGTACAGAGAAAGAGGCAGGATGCAGGAAAAGAGCAGATATTGGCCAAAGAGAGAGAGAGAGGCTAGCTCCTGCATCTGAACTTTATGAAGTGATCGTGCAGAAAACAGTGTGGATATGATTTTCTATAACACAGAAAATGCCGAAGCTGTTATCAGTGATTATCAGAAAGCTGTAAATATTGTATTAAAGAAATAGCCTCTCTTAATGTACCTGTACGAGAACCAATTCCTGCTTCAACTTAGTCACTGTGTTCTCCGCTTTCACTGCCCGTTTCTAAATTAAATAGAGAGACGGATGTCATTACCTCACCGACAAAATACAAAATGAAGTTCAAAAGATCGTGGATGGGTGACAATTGCTCCCATGGGGTGGGAGATAAACCTCAGGCAGACAGTCAGCATCAGTACAGCTGAGACCTGAGAATCCAGACAATACCCTCAGAGTGAAAGTGCTGAGGGAGCGCCGCACTGTCGGAGGGTCAGCGCTGAGGGAGCGCCGCACTGTCGGAGGGTCAGCGCTGAGGGAGCGCCGCACTGTCGGAGGGTCAGCGCTGAGGGAGCGGGCACTGTCGGAGGGTCAGTGCTGAGGGAGCGCCGCACTGTCGGAGGGTCAGTGCTGAGGAAGCGTTGCACTGTCAGAGGGTCAGTGCTGAGGGAGTGCTGCACTGTCGGAGGGTCAGCGCTGAGGGAGCGCCGCACTGTTGGAGGGTCAGCGCCGAGGGAGTGCCGCGCTGTCGGAGGGTCAGCGCCGAGGGACAGCATTTATCCCTCAGTCAACGTAATGAAAATAGCAGCTTGCCTGGTTTTGATTTCTCTGATAATTGGGGCTGTTCTCACAGGGTCAATACTCCACTCCCCATGGAAACTGCCCCACCAACAACATCCCCCCCCACCCCCCACCCCCCCCCGGCCCCCTGCTTGTCCCTCACCGTCATCAGTTGCAGGTTCTCTTCCACTTGTTGAACCATTGATTCTAATGCTTGTGTCTCTTTCTCTTCTTTGATTTTCCTTCTCTCCAACTCCTCCTGCAGCCTCTTGGTCCTAGGGACACAGTCAATGGGATGTTTGATGTCACTGATGCCGAGCTCCTGCCCCTCTGTGACTGCCATTATGGCCCACAAGATGCGTGATGCATCAAGTCCATCTCAACACTATTCCCCACCGCTCAGAACATTATTCCTTATCCATTGCCTGTTACACCAACATGGCACATGTCCTCACACCGTACATTCAGTGTCTGCTCCAAGGCAGCGAGTAGATGAGAGATTGGTTCCACCCAGGATTACTTCCTGCGGCACCATTACAACTGACACATGATGAAGCTTCACCCAGTCAGTCCTGGCTGATTTTAAACCGGAGCTGTGTTGGTGAAAGTTCATTGTCCGATAGCCAGCAAATCATTGAGGGGAATCTGATAACAACACAGTTAGAATAGAATGATGGATGTTCATTGTAGGACAGACTGCACCGATGAGATAGGTCAACTGTTTCCATCAGGTCAATGATGTTTCATCAGAACACATTCTCTCTCACACTTGCAGCCTGTTTATTACCAATTTCTACTGCTTTTGTTTTAGCTTTGTGGCACCCACAGCGTTTCACTTTTATCAGTGCTTTTTTGCAGTGTTAAAGCTTGCATCATGCTGGCTATACTGTAATAAGAACACCATCAAGTTTTAGCTGGTGCTGTGAATGTCTGGCCAGGGCAAGATTAGCACAAGCAATGGCCAAATGACAGACATTACACAGATAACTGAAGCATGCATGGCATTCTCGCTAGAGTCACAAGACTCCAGCTTAACATCCCACGACTGGGCTTCAAAAAACATCAATGCAGTGCTGAGGGAGCGCCGTACTGTCAGAGGGTCAGCACTGAGGGAGTGCTGCACTGTCGGAGGGTCGGCACTGATGGAGCGTCGCACCGTTGCAGGGTCAGTGCTGAGGGAGCGCCGCACCGGAATCTTAATTTTCAGGATGAGGTGTTAAACCAAGGCTCCATCTGCTCATTTTGTTTGACTGAAGATCACACAATGGGATTTAGGAGATGTGTAGAATTGTTCTCCCCCAAGTTGTGGTCAATATTTAGTCATCAATCAACATCATAACCCATCACCTGTCAATCATTACTGTTTATGGGATCTTACTGTGCCTAAATTTGACTATCCCTGTTTCTTGCTTTATAACAATAGCAAAAACTCAAATTATTAAATGGACTGTGAAGCACTTTGTGCCACCCAACTATTGTGAAAGGTCCTGGGGAAATGGACACCTTTCTTTGGTTTTAAACTGAAGATGGCAGAAAAGAAACTTTATTAAACATTTTGGCACCACCTCCCATGAGCATTGCACCCACTTCTGATCTCTCATACAAACTCTGTAAGCTCAGCTCCTCTTACCTCTTTATATGGGTCTTTACTAATTGCTTTGCTTCCTTATTCTGTTTTCGGAGCCGTGTATTTTCTTCCTGTAGCTGAAAGAAGATTGAGAGTTTATATCAAACAAATGCTGCCTTTGGTAGCTATGCAGATACTAATGGTTTTCCCCAGCTCCAGATTCCACCATTCTGACATTCTCCCAGCTGGTTTTCCACAGTCTAAACCCAGTTCCTCTGAAACTGGCCCCATTCCAAACTCAGACCTAGTTCCATTCACCCTGTACTCACTGACTTACACTGACATTTTGCTGGACTTAAGAGCCAATTTTAAAATTACCTTCTTCTTTTCAAATCCCTCCATGGCTATCACTCCCATTCTCTGTCATCACTTCCAGCACCACAACCCTCCAAAATCTCTGCCCTCCTCCACTTCCAGCCCGTTGAGCCTCCCAGATTTTAATCGCTCCACCATTGGGCTCCACCTTATCTTCAGCTGCCTGGGTCCCAAGCTTTAGAATTCCTCCCATAAACCCTTCCGACATTTCTACCCTCCTGTCCCTCCTTTAAGTCACTCGTCAACAAGAGCAGCTTGCACTTACATAATCGGCTTTAACTGAATTAAACATCTCAAGGTGTTTCACATGATTGTTACCAAACAAAATTTGACACCAACCAAAAGGAGAGGGGAGGACAGATAATCAAAGGAGGAGGTTTTAACGAGTCTACTTCTTTTTTTACCACTGGTCCAAAAGACCTCATGATGTAATTTAATGCCAAATTTGAAGAATACACACATTTGAATCATGAGTAGGCCATCTGGCCCTTTGTGTCTGCTCCCCCATTTCATAAAATAATGGCTGATTTGATTGTTTTTCAACTTCCTTTCATCTATCTGTTTCCCGATAATCCTTGACTCCCTTATCGATCAAAAACCTCTCTAACTCTGCCTGAACATTTTCAATGACTTGGCCTCCACTGCTCAGCAGAGAACAGGATTCCAGACACATGACCCTCAGAGAGAAGAAATTCGTCCTCATCTCCGGCTTAAATGGGATAAACCTCATTTTTAAAACTGTCCC